TCAAAACAAGTTTTCTTCTATTCATTTTCTAACTTGTCTGCTCGATCCTTCTGAGTATCGACATCTAACTTCCACTGATATCTTCCACTAAGAATTTGCATACCATGGGGACAACTACAAGAAAATGGTCAAGGAAGTGGTTGAGTCATGGAAGAAAGTGTTCTGAATGGATGTCGTGGCTGCCAAGGATATGCTTACTCAGGACTATTTGGAATGGCGGAGGTTAAGGATAAATGACAACATCCCAGTGCCAGATAATAAGGACACCGGACCATGGAAGAGCATCTTAATCCTGTTCCTTCTTAGCTGGATATTGCAAGGGAATAATTTAATTCTGACCCAAATATTCCGTATGTTGTAGGGACAAACTGGTGTGCTCCAAACTATTGGAGTGCCAGAAGTGGAGAATATCCAAATCCTCCCCACAGTCCAAGTAATGTCATAGTATTTGAATCCCCATATCGGAAGAGAATGTCATTGTGAGTGCACCCTATGATTCTTCCTTCGCCAGTCTTTCTGTAATTGGTTGAGAGAGCGAAAGGTCTCAGCTAAGATTGATGGTGTTGGATTTACTCTCCTCGAGAGTTGTTCAAATAGTTCCACCACAGCTGTATAAATGCACCCCAAAGTCTTCGGGAAGATAACCAAACCATAAAGGCCCAGTGCGAAGAGATCTATTGCCTTCCATTCATCGGGGTGGTTCATCATCAGTTGCTTGATATGGATCCACCCAATTCCTTCCCCGCTACCTTTGTGTCGGAGTCGGTCAGTTACCCATTTTTCATCTACTCTTGCAACTTTTTCTAGTCCGTTCTTGAAAGGCTGACTTTTGATGGGCTTGATATAGGCTCGCTCCAATCTGATGCAATCGTAAAGCAGCAATATAGTATACTCCTCGATTGTGGGCACCATGTCCCCCTGGTTCAAGGTGAAACAGTTGTACCCCGGATTCCATAATTGAACCAAGGCTCTGATTAAGGGCTCATTAGTCTTGACATAAAGTAAGAGTGCAATGTCACCATACCGCTGGCTGAACTTCCGTTTTCGATCAATCTTCCAACTGTCCCAAATGTTCCGTAGCTCTTGTACATATTTCTGCTTTCGGCTAACAGAGGCGTAGCTAACCAGTTCTGACACATAGCTTCCTTGAAGAATGTCTCCCTTTTATTTCTGGGTCTTTTCGGACCATAGTCGTACTTAGGCATTTTTTATCTCTTGTATTACAACCCCTTTGTCCATTATTGCATATTATTTGTGTATCACAAACACATTTTATAGATCAATGGCCTCTTTATATGATGCAAATGCTAAAAAGATAAACAGAAAAGGAAACAAGTTAGTAAGATAAAAGATAATAACGATGAAACTAAAAATAAATGAAAAGTTGCATGAGTAAAAACATCTTATGTTTTGAAATGGGGCTTTGGGGTAGCTCTAATTCTCTATCATCCCCCCGGTTTAGGTTCTAAAGAAGGTACCCGAGTTCTCTTTACAGGTGCCTCCTTGGGCTTATCAGACCCTTAGTCTTAAGCCATTACAAGCTCATGTGGACTAAGTTAAACTCGAGAGGATACATTCCCTATGCCCGTACGGAGAATAAATTCTCACGAAGGTGTGGCTTTTACCCCTATTTAAATAGGATTCAAAGCTCGGGTATAGAGCCTTAGATGGAAAAACAAGTTTGATAAGTTGAAACCATTGAAAGAAATCGTCAGTACAACTATTTATTTGAAAAGTTAATCAAAAGTAAGTAACAAGCATAAAAAAAGTTACCTTAAAATTTAAACTTACCCTTTTACTTAAAAAGACAACTGAAAATTAACCTTAGTCTGTCTCACTTACCTATCCCCGACAGAGTCGCCAAGCTGTCGCGGCCGTCTTTCGGGTGGGCCCGGAATTGGACTTTGACTTGAATAAAATGGTTAGAGTTTCCACCGATCATTTATTTTAAGAAAAAATGGGTTGATCAGGCACCTTAATTTCTTACCTGATTTGCATCTTACCAAAGATATGTAGGATTCGAGAGTCGGTTACAATCATGGATGGATTAACACCCTTGAACTACCCTTTCGGTATTAATTAATTTCAAGTTGTCTTAATTATGAAAATGATAAGTTAAGTAAAAGGTAAAATATGATCCAAATTACTTACTTTTAATGGATTTTAACACCCTTAAAAAGTCAAGAAAAGTGTTTGATGTAACAAAGCACAGAATCGAATTTAAATAAAAAATGCATAAACATGAGAATACTAATTGCAAAATTAAATATAAACAATTGCTATAATAAAGAAAAGAAGTAAAATAAAAAACATAAAAATCCTAAAAAATAGCTAAATAATAATCAATACAAAATAAAAAATAATAATAAAACAAAATAGAATAAGATGAAAAAAAGAATTAAATAAAAAAAACGAAAATGAAAAAATAGGAAATAGAAAATAAAATTTTAAAAAAGAAAAGAAAAACAATATATATGTATATATATTAAAATATAGTATTTAATAAATAAAAATAAAAAGGGAATAATAATAATAAAATATATACATACGAAATAAAAATGAAAAGAAGGAAAACAAATAAAATAAAGAATGAAAATATAAAAATATATATGTAAATAAAAATGTGTTAGATAAAAAATAAATAATAAGAAAAAACAAAAATAAAAAAAAGGGAGGAAAAAATAAAAAATAAAATAAATACAATATATATACATATAAATAAAACATTAGGGAGAAATAATAATAATAATAATAATAATAATAATAATAATAATAATAATAATAATAATAATAAATAAAAATAAAAATATATAATAATAATAATAATAAAAGGGCTAGATTGAAAGAAAAATAAAATTGAAGATCAATTTTAAGAGGAATTCAGGACTAAAATTTATTTTGTGGTCAAAATGAAAGTTTTAAAAACGGGAGATCGAAAATGTAATTCCCCCCTTTGTTTCACAAAAACACGTGAATCCTTCTTGGGTTGGATTTGGTCACGGGTCGGGTCGGCGGGTACTATAAATACCAATTTCCATAAACACAAATCATTTCTTCCCCCATCTCAAATGGATCAAAACCAAAGCCAAAAAAACCTCTGAAATGTTCATCGTGTTCTTCATAAAAATGAAGAACACGGCCGTGAAACCTAGAAACCGGTTGGCCACGGCCTCGTTGACCGCCGTTCATCGGCGGTGGCTGATTTTTTTTTTTTTTGCATTTTTTTTAAAGCCTTCGATTCCCTTATTTCAAAAATCAAATCGGTTTTCACAAAAAGGCCTCGAGGAAGGCTAGATCTAGAGAAGATCTTTCGAAAACCCCTCCCTCGTTCATCGGCTCTTTGATATTTTTTCAGTCAAAAAATGACGAGCAATGTCCCACACATGCAAAGCCGAAATAGGTAGAAAAATACCTTTTATTTCTCTTTTTCCTTTCGAAAGTTACAATGATTTCCTGGCTTTTTGTTTCGTGTTTCCTCTGTGCTTTCATGTTTATTTGTATTGTTTACATGCGTATTTATAATCCTAGGATTGTCTATTTTATATAGATTAGAGTCCTATATGAACTAAAATCCTTGCTTTGTTTTCAGTTTGATTTTCTTGTGGCCTTCAAAATGCCGAATAAACCGAAGAATGAGTTTGTTGCCACTAGAATAGGGACTCTCCAAGAGCCGTGCGATGTTGGACCTATCAGGAACGTGCGACGCTAAAGGAAAAATGTGAAACCCTAGCTGACTTCACTATGGACCGTTGGATCTCATCTAGATCCAACGGTGGATGCTGCTGGTGGCTGAGGCAAAAGAAGAGCAACCCTAACCCTCATGATGGACTGGTTCGGGTCGGGTTGTCATTGGGCCTGGATCACGGATCAGGTCTGGACTGGATCCGGGTCTATGGGGTTTCACTTGTACTTGGGCTGCTGGGTTTGATTGTGTAACATTTGTATTTGGGTTTAGGGCCCGATTCTGTAAATGAAATGAAAAATGAATTAATATGTATAATATATGCTATACAATTATAGTATATAATATAGTATGTACATATTATGTAATACATATACACTATATACTATAATAATAGTATAAAGTAACATATAAATATTATGTGCTAAATTCGGACGAAAACATGTGCCGACACTACCATCGGAATTTAGAACATCGACATAAAACAATTCTTATTTGCAGAAACAAAGAAGAAAAATGAAGCAAAGATTATAGCAAGTCATGCGAAACTCAAAGCAAATATTGAAGAACGACGACAAAGAGAAGACTCTACAAATAATTTAAAATGAAATCAAACTTTGGTATTTATCTCATTAATTTAAAATGAGTTCATTTTTAAGTTGTAAATATAATTATAAATAATATATTTATATAATTAAAATTAATTAATATAATACAAAAATGATTTTTAAATAAAATTCATTTTTGGTATTATAAATCAAAATATTAAAAAATTATATTAACATATTTTCTCAAATCTAAAACAAAATTAGACCTTTCGGACTCAATAAAAATAAATTATACTTTTTTAATTAAATAAAAGTATTATATTTTTAAGATAAATATCAAAATTTGAACTCACACAAAATAAAATAATATAAGCACCACTCGACCAATTAATAATTTTCATAGACCAGCAACCAAAAAGAACACAAATTAAGGAATAGAAAAAAAATTGTGCCAGCATGGAAATATAAATATTTAGTTTCAATATTTATGATCATTTCCTCTCACAATAATAAATCCTTAAATATCTCACACTCAAATGTCCTCTCCCATCCATTTTTAACCATTTCCCCCTCCCTCTCTATTTCCCTAACCACAACCCCTTTTTTTAAGGCCCCTTTCTTTTCTGTTTTCCCCTTCCTCAATATATATACCCAAATAGCAATTCCTCATCCCTTAGATTTTGCCTTGTTCTAGAAATATATTCGGATTAGGGTTTTCAAACCAACAAAAGAAGAAGAAAGAAGTTTCCATTTTGGGGTACAGAGAATATTTAGGGTTTATAGGAAGAAAGAGGTATGGGACGTGTTAAGCTGGAGATTAAGAGAATAGAAAACAACACCAATCGTCAGGTCACTTTTTCCAAACGGAGGAATGGGTTGATTAAAAAGGCTTATGAACTTTCCATCCTTTGTGATATTGATATTGCTCTTATCATGTTCTCTCCTTCTGGTCGTATTAGCCATTTTTCTGGAAGAAGAAGGTTTCATTCATTCCCCCCTACATTTCCATTTTTTATTGCTTCATTCACCTTTTTTTTCTCATTTCCTTATATATATATATATATAACAGTTTTCTTTTTTATATATTCAAAAAAATCATACTTTTATGTTCATATTCAAATAATCCAAGTCTACGTAAAGCCATGTGCATGCATGAAAGAATCCATGCACGCTGATGCTCCAATAAACTAAAATAGAATTAGCTTTGTTTTTCTCCAACTTTTAAATGTTTAAAGAAGCTACATAAATGTTTGACATGTATTTATCCTTTTTCTATGAAAATACCAGGATCGAGGATGTCTTTATGCGTTACATTAATCTCCCCGATAGAGAAAGAGAACAGTAATTTCTTCACCATTTTATAGTGTTGAATGCTAGTTTCAAGCTGATATATACTTCATTTCACATGTTGATTTGGTAATATCTCCATTATTATTATTTTTTTTGCAGTGCTGTGATTTTCCCTGAACAAATCAGACATCCGTATGTCCTTCAACCCCTTTTTCCCTATAGTTTTAATTTCTCCTTAAAACTTGAAATTCATATGTTAAAGCTAATGTTTTGTTTAAATTGCAGTGATATCCAAAACAAAGAGGTAAGGAAAATGACTCATTGTTAGTATATGATATTTTCCATGAAAATGAAATTATATGGAACCTCAGTTCATGAAATTCTGTATTTTTGCAGTATTTGCTTAGGATTCTCCAGCAGCTAAGGAGTGAAAATGATATTGCTCTTCAACTTGCCAAGTTTGTCAACCTTTTCCTCTCTCTATATTTTGAGATAATTTCATTTTCTTCATTTTGAAAATATGTTTAAATACATTATCTAACGGGGAATTTTTTTTTTCTTTTTGTCTCTTTTCTTTTCATGTATTTTTACGCAAAACAGTCCAACATCCTTTAACTCTGATTTTAAGGTATCATAAACATGCTGTGTTTGTTCTATATTATTTATTTTTTTTTTATTTGTGTTAATTAATGTTTTATACAGGAAATCCAGCAAGAAATTGTAAGGTTACAACAACAACTTCAAATGGTTGAAGAACAACTAAGGTATATTTAGTTATAGGGATAGACATAAGATTTTATATAAAATACAAACTTAAAAAGAAATTAGGAATAAAATATATTCAATAAAATTATATGAAAAATTAAAATTTGTAAGGGGCAAACATTCCTGTCAAACTCCTTAATACATCACTAGATACATGTATATTAAGATTTTTTTAAATAAAATTTAAATCTAACATTTTTCAAGTTTGGGCTAATTAATAACTTATTGATTCTTCAAATACAGGACATATGAACCTGATCCTTTTAGGTTCACATCGATGGCTGAGCTTGAATCTTGTGAGAAACATCTTGTTGAAACATTAGGAAATGTTGTGCAACGAAAGGTCGGAATCATTGTTATTGTTGTTATCATTATTGTTACAGAATTTTATTTTTCTTTTCACATGAATTGTCCATAGCTTTGGTTTACAGGAATACATATTGAGCAACCATATATCTTCTTATGATCCATCTCCTATACAGGTAGTTTTGGTTACTTAAAGTTAGATAAAAGCTACGGATTATTTTTATCTTTCATGTTCGTTTTACGATTTTTGTTAGCAGCAAGGATTACCTTCCTTCGAGAATGAGGTCGTCAATTGGCAGCTCCCTGATAATGGCCAAAACCAATCCCAAATCTTCGATGCTTCAGCATCTTTAAATTCTCTCAGGGATCTTTCATCGACTGTGTACGATCCATTGCTGCAAGGACGCATATCAAATGTTGATCCAAACAACATGGGAGGAGATCAATGCCACGTCTCGAACCCGAATGCCGAAAATTTCATACCATGGCCTCAGTCTTTTGCTTCTGCAGGGCTTCAGTCCAATTCTATGCCACCAAACTTATATTCCCATGTTCAGGTTCATAATTCATTATCTTAAGATTTCGTTCATTCACAATAATCTCAATTACATCCAAAAACCGACAATCGATAACGTTCGTAACCGTAATCTTTTTGCAGCATGGAATGGTGGGGCATCAGGAGATGGCAGAAATGGTAGCAAATGAGCAGCAGCAAATGGAAATTCCAGGGAACTATAATTCACATGGTCAGATGACAGATAATGAAGGCTCAAACTATGAGAATAGAGTTCAAGAACAACACAATGGGCAATGACCATGCATGCATGCCCTTCTCACACTGCTATATAACAAATTCAATTTCCTGTTGTAATATTCCAAAACCCTAGGCCATGCTTCCTTGGGATACAAGCATGCATCCTAGAAAATGTATCATGGCAAACACCATTTTTTTTCTTTCTTTTTTCGCATTTATTTTTCATAATACGAGATCTACATATATAATTGAAAAAAAATATTCATTAACGATTTATATCGAATCACTATTTGAAAAGAAAATACTTTTCATTTGATTTTTTTTCAATTGCATTTTTGTTGTTGATCATGATTTAATTTTACTATCGATATGTGAGAAACTAATTGCAATACGGGTAGGTTATATGCGATACAGATATCATAGGTTAGAATCCATTTTAATCCATAAACATTTATTAAATAAATTTTGATTTCATGTAAAATATAGGAATCTAACTGAGACGAGACAGATCACGAGTTATTCGATATCAACTCGATCAAAACTCAGTCAATACTCAAATCGAATGGACTCGAGCTCGACTCAACTCGAATTCTTAATGAGATGAAACAAACTAATTGATACTCTACTCGAAAAGCTCATGGACTACTTGATAAAAAATATATATTAAAATTTTAGATTTTTTTAAATTAAATTATTAATGATATTAACATTTATATGTTATTTTTTATTAAAAAATAATATAAGGATTTCTTATATTTAATGTTTAGGTTGGAGTTTGATTCGAGCTTCAATTTTTGATTTCGAATGGAGCTTAAAAATTTTAACCTCATGAGCTTTAAGTCAAGTCGAGTTTCAAACCTTTTATTACGTATTCGAGTCGAGTTTGATCATTTTAAACTTGTGAGTTCTCGAGTAGTGTGAAACCTTAAAATTTTAGAGCCGAGTCGAGCTCAACAATACTATTATTTTGATTTGGCTCATTTACAGCAAATGGATTTGAGATTAGTGTTTTTCACGCTTTCAACAAAGTAAACACCTTACCAGAAAAGGCTGAAGTTGCACAGTCATCCAAGAAGCACAGTTGGGCTCTGAGTGATTCCAGATCTTTCAAGGAAATATTGCTAGGGGATCAAGCCAGTGAACAGACTGGAAATACCTGGGAACCTGGAAATGTGGAGGGAGGTGGAAAGTACCATGAGATGCTTACAGTGCAGCTTGGGGGTCAAAGGTCATCAAAGCATGAGGTAGAGGCGTAGAGCATTCCACCCTCGTAGCTATTCCAAAAGTGGAATCTGAGTGGAGGGTCGGTTGTTTGGTTGGGAAGATTAAGAATATGTTCAATCCTGATTTGGTACAAATTCCCTAAGGTCCGATGGTATTGACGGTTTAGTGTGTCCTTGGTATGGGTTGATGTTTATCATCGGATATTCATCAAAGGAAAACCGAGCTAAAGTATGGGCAAAAAGAGAAGCTTATCAATCTTTGGTTCGATGAATTGGAATTGCTAGAGGGATGATGGAAAAAGAAAGAGTGAAAGTCTGGGCAGCTCTGGAAGACGTTCCCTGATAGTGTGGAACAAATTGTTTTTCAAGAACTAGCTAGTAGATAGGGAGAGTTTATCTCGTTGGATGAGGATACTAAGAATCTTAAAATCCGATATAGCCAAAATGCTGCTAACAGTCCAAAACGTGTCAGTTATCCTGGATATTGTTTCCAGACTCGTAAATTGATGCATCCACAGAATCAAGATTAAAACGGAAGAATAAGACGGCAATCGGTTCTTCAGTGATGGGGTTTTTTCGTGCGACATGAGCAATGATGAGTTGAAAGACGTTTCAGTTCCTATCTTTGAGGAGAATGATTATGTTGCTCTTGCTGATTCCGAGGAAATAATATCGTGTCAGACAATAGTGTGCGGCTATCCAATCAATTAGTTCCAATACAAAGTGCAGAGAAGCTGAAAGGGAAATGACGGAGATAAACATTCGTGCTTTACTGAAACTCTACTCCACGACGTGCCCATTACTTTTGGATCAGGGTCAGATATAATGAGCTTAGAGATGAAAAGGCCTACCGAACTCGAAGATGATAATGGGTTGTGCGAAATGTTTGTGTCCAATGGGTCGAGGTTAAAGGAAGTGCCCATAGAGGTTGTTGACTTACATAATTTTAACCCAAATAGCCTAAAACTATAGGTTAAACTATCGTAATGGTCACTCATATTTGGGACAGTGTTTGTTTTTACAACTGATGTTTAAAAAATCACAAATCAGTCACTAATATTATCATTTATTATAAAATAGTCACTCAATACTAACGGCCGTTAATATGCATGACAAAAAATACAGCTAAACTGTTATATGTTGAGTTGGACCATTGACCACCAAAACTGGTTATTTGACCGATTCTTCTTCTTCTTCAACCCAACCCCATCTTCCTTCTCTTTCACCCCACATTTTCTTAGCTACCAAACGTTTTTTTATATTTCATTGCAATAGAGATGAAACATGACCTGCAACAGAAGCTTCCTATGGAAAATTTTAAACTTGAAATTCGTAAAAGACCAACTACTTTGATTATGAAGATAAAACACCAATTCATCTTGACCTTTTCATTTCATGTCCAACCACTTCCAATAACTCTCTTCTCTCCGAAAAAAGCATCCCTCTTCCTTCTTCATCTTCATCCTAAGCTTGTTCTTCAATTTCTCTCCCAAATAAGTGTTTACCAATAGCTTTTTGAGCTACAATGTTCGACCTAGTTGTGGAAGCATCTTGAATATCGATTATCCTTTTTGGGGATTGGACTTGAATCGGCCGGCATGCTGCGGATACCCTGGATTCAAGCTCCACTGTAACGAAAATGAGCCAGAAATCACGATCATGTATGTTACATACCGAGTTCTTGAAGTAAACAATTTTCCTCTCTGTCAAGTGTAGAAGATTACTGACCAATCAATTTAGTCAGAGATTTTTATAAGTTGATGGCACCTGTATTATCAAGAAGATTAGTTGGTTGCGTAAATGAGGTTGCAGGTAAGTCCCAATTTGCCTTCACTGCATATTTAATATCCTTTATTTTAAAGAAAATGATACAAATCGTAAAGAAAGGAAAAAAAAAGGAGAGAGGGAGAAGAAAAAGGAAAGAGCGACTAGGGTTTAAAGATTATAACAAGTGTATATTTGATTTTCTTTATTTTGAGATTTGAATAATACAATAATAATATACAAAAATACAATAATGATATTGTAGACACCCATTTTCGTCAGAGACTTCAAGGGGCTTATTTAGTATATATGATAATATATATAATAATTTCAAAAAATATACAATATATATAGTTTTTGAAGATATATAATATAGTTTTTGAAAATATTGTTGAAAACATATAATATATAGTTTTTTAAAAACCGGTTTTGAAAACATATAATATATAGTAGTTTTAAAAATGGTTTTTGAAAACATATAATATATTGTAAAACGATTTTGGACATGCAACCAATCCAACAGCCAAGATCAAATCCTAGCTCAAGAGCCACGCACAGTAACTGACCGAGATTTCGGCAGAGCAAATCGGAGCAGCCTGGGACTGAACCATCCCAGGATTTCTGGCCAACAACGTCGACAGCCTGAGTAAATTGAGAACGGAGAGAACGACCACTGAAGCAACTGGAAACAACCCCATCAGGGGAGCTATATAAATACCATGTCGGACATATGTAATATGGCAAGGAAAAATCGAGAAAACAACAATCATAGCAACAAAAGTCACCACTGAAATACATCGAGAAAGCGATTAAAAACAATTAGATCATGAAAAACGGTTAAGAAAAAAATAGCAATATACACAGAGATATAAGCAAGAGAAACCAAAAAGTGCCGAAACATCAAAATACCAAGAAATCATTCCGTATATTACAACAACAATCACAAAACTTAAACTTTAGCCTCGATTTTGCAAGGAGAAGGAAAGATCGCTGGGAAAGCAAAAGGTCGTCATCGAACAAAGGTAAAACTGAAAATAATTTTTTAGATTTGCGTAGATTGGGCCATTATTTGGAAGTTTACAGGTCAGTTTTGGGTTTAGAAAATCAGGGGAAGATTTTGAGGAGGTTTAGATTTTCTCGGCCACCAGAGGCGGTGGTCGGAGTGGTGGTTTGGGCGGCGGGTGGTCATCGGAGGTTGGTCGGCCATTGGCCGGTGGAGTTTGGGTTGATAGTGTTTTAGGGAGAGGGTTTTGTTGTTTTTAGTGAATATGTTTAAAATGATTTTTTTTTATATTTTTGGGGTATTTATAACGGAGGACTAGAGTGCAATTAGAAGTATTTTAATATTTTAACTTATTTTCACAGTCCCTAGTATTTTGAAGTGTAATTCATTCTGGTCACCTGTTGTAAATTGGCCCTAGAATTTTGAATTATTTCAATTTGATCCCTATGCATTTTTTATTTCTTTTGCAATTTAACCCCTAACTTTTAATTATTTCCAATTTAATCCTTTTAATTTAAATTTTCTTTTATTTATTTAATTTTTATTTCATTTCATTTTTTGTATTTTATTTTAATCTTAATATTAGTTCATTTCAATTTTATTTTATTCTATTGTCTATCATTAATTTGATTTTTTAGGATAATTTTAAATTCGTCAAAGGGTAAGTAATTCAGATCGAACTGTTAATTTTAAGTCAACTTTTAATTTTCGCAATTAAGACAACCGAAAAATTAAATTGGTACCAAAAGGGCAGTACAAGGGTGTTAATCCTTCCCTGACTGTAATCGACTTCCGAATCTGATTAATTTCTGGTAAAACGTAGATCAAGTAAATGGTAGGATAAGGTATACGATCAACTTAATTTTAATGATCGGTGGTGGCTCTAAAACATTAAATTCAAGCCGAAACCCGATTCTGGGCCAACTTGAGGGACGGTTACGAAAGCTTGGCGACTCCGCTGGGGAAAGTAAGTGAGTAGACCAAAGTTAATTTCCAGTTGTCTTCTTAAGAGAAAATTGTAAGTTTGAATTATAATTTATCTTTTCGATGTTTATTATTTACCTTTGATTATTTTCCAAATAAATAGTTGCACTGATGTTTTTTAATGATTTCAGTTTTTCAAAAAATTCATCTCATGCTCTATACCCGAGCTCTAAACC